AGAAAAGTCGGGAAATTCTGCCATTAACATAAGAAAACTTAACGAGCTACAATCACTCGGTGACGTTTGATGGCAGTGATAATAGCTGCAACGTGATTGGCCAATACTCGGTACTTTTATTTATCTTAAAATTTCATTGGTTGATGGAAAGTATCCAGGTTTTTCTCAAATTGGACAGTTTGTTCAAAGCTAAACTAAACGTTAGAGCAAAAACTATCCAATTTATTTTAAATTTGGACAGTTTGCAAAAATTAATAAAAAATAGGTTTGTTGGCAATATTGGATTTCGATGGAGCTATATAATTAAAGTGAAAATTGTTTGAAATAATGTGTCACTGCCTTCATTGCCTTCTGTCTAACTTTTTTTTCTTTTTTCTTTTTTTTTTTTTGAAAACGCGAAAATCTGGGTCGGTCGGAAGACGCTAAACAGAGACAAAAAGGGGGATGGCCTAACTGGTTTTATTCCGCTTGTCTCGTCTACAACTGGTCCTTTCCGTGACGTCATCGATGATCGTTTCATGACAGGCTGACTTAATTGTCAGGTTGGCAAACAAGGAAATTTTGCATAAAATTCCGTTTTAAGCCCGATTAAGTTGCATGACAATTTCAAAGATTAAGTGTCTACATATTCTCCATTTTGTTTGCTGCAGCTCAATGTCGTCTGGACTCGAAAACAAAACAGGAACACCAAGAAAATAACCGATGTAAAAATATATAAACTTTTAATTTCTGGAGAAAGCTGTGTATCAACGTAAGCGGGAATGCTTTACGAAAAGGGGGGTTTATTATCTTTCTGTGAGAATTTAAAGAGCTCAGATCAAAGAATTTTCTCAAAGCAGTTCAGCGCATCTGTCTGGTGTTTTGGATTATACGTTGGTCGGGTTGCGAAAAACTTTAGTCGCAAATCCAAAATCCAAACAAATATAGCACCTAAAATGACGAGGGGGCAGCATTGCATCAATGAATAGCTGTAGTTATCTACAAGATTATCACAACTGACTGTTTTTATGCAGCAGATCGCCAGGTTCTTTATACTACAACTTAGTTAACCCGTCTGAGTAAACGGAATACAAAATTGCCAAGTTAACTCCGTTTTACTTTGGTGCATATTCGAGCCATTTAAGATCACATAACTCTCAAGTTTATTAGCAGTTTCACGAATTAAGAAAAGCTCTCCAGCAGATGGCCTATTGTCGGTTTTACTCCGCTAGTGGATAAGCTTTTCGCTGACGAAAAAAGTATTTGCTGAATTATTAAGTGTTATTCTTATACTTAACGCAATAAAATTTAAAAAAACACTTAAATTTCACAGAATCAATACTACGAAAATGGGTTTGCGGGTTAAAAAAGTTTCTTTGAGCGATAGGGAATAGCAATAAGCCTCCTAAATAATAAAGGTCTCCTCGCTAACACGCGATATTAAACATCTCAGATACACGACCGTCGGCAAACACATGAGGAGCAGAAATGAGAACAGTGAGGTGGACTTCTTTCTCATCGAAAAGAACGCTTGCTCAACCAGTTTTCCATACATTGGTAAAATTTGTTTTTCCCGAACGAAGTAAGGTATTACTCATCAGCCCAATTTGAATATAAAGTGATGCTCATCAAATCATCTGACAAAATTTCGCCCATCTGTTCATGGCTCATATATTGTCACACAACACTGCTTTTTATTGAGCTTGTTTCTCTATAGCAAAACAGCAACATCCGAGCAAAATGTGGTTATGTTTTCTGAAATCCGTGAAATAATTATTCAGTCTAAACTACAACTAGCAATTACACATACTGAAGCATGTTTTT